TATCAGTTTTATCAATTAATGAAGGAAATTTACACAACTATATTGTTTGAAATGACATTAGACAAAATCGATCTAATAACTCGCATTAATTAATACAGCTTTCTCTGTAAATGTTTCGCTTCTCGACTCTCTGAGCTAAGATCATGTGCATATGTTTCAATTTTTTAGATAATTAAATATAGGTCATTTGTTACAAGAAGTTTAGCTAAGACATCTATTTTTATTGAATTTATGACCAAGCTGTACAACCGTATATATATATATGTATTGTACAGTCCGACAATAAATTCAGTGAAAAGATATACATTCTTTGAACTTCGTAAATTAAATGTTTAAATAGGAAATTTATGCTACTTAATTCCTCCTTATTTATTATTTATCATTTTGATGCATCCAAATATTTTTACATGTCTCTACCATTGCCTCAAGTTCGAGTTTACTTCCAGCTTGACTATTATGTCACAATAGCCATTACTTGTTCATTTGTTATGATGGATGAAACGGTATTCACAGGATCCACTCAATGAAAAGTAGAAATATAAGTTATGAATACTAAAATTGATAAAATGAAAATCGGCAAATTAGAATCATATGAACATCATAAGATGAACTGAGAGTTCGCTATTAACTTTATTCATATAAACAGTTAATTTCATTTAACACTATTTTTCACTCAGTGAGAACCTATGGAATAAATATTCTTCTAAACAAATTACTGTACCACTTGAAACAACAACTGGATTAAGTAAAATGGTTAAAATTTAATCTTTACTGAATTTTCTTGTTTTACAATACTGTCTGAATTCTGTTAGTTATTAAAATTGTCATAAGTAGTAGTGTAGATTAATTGTGTTTACGTTTGGACATTTCAAAGTAATTAAAACTGAACTCTTAATAGTTTTTTTTACAGAACTAAACGATAAGTCATTTCTAAAACCAAACCGAATATTTAGAAAAGAAACATAACCTAGTCAAAGTTGATATAATTAGCTAGTTAGTAAAAACACAAAAAGTAACGTACAATCTGGGCTTCCTTATAGTCTTACAGTTTTAAATGAAGTTAAACTATTGTTACATTCCATTTTTATCATAATAATTTATCAAAAAACTACATTCATTTTCTTTATGTGTTTGTTTAGTGTTTGAGTTATGTGGAGCTCTTTCTTAAACCTACTCTCAACACATTAGCAGGAGTGGTCAATCCAGAAAACATATGTAAGGTATGATGAGTAAAGTGTACTAATCAAATACTTCAATTGCTAATTTGTTACATTTTGTGCCATTTTACGAAAAATGAAAGCGACAATTCTAAATTGAAATAAAAGCATTCCATATCAGTGTTTATGTTTGTAATCATTTATTTCTTCTCAGTAGAAAGCTTATTTTTTTTAAAAACTATATTCAATGAATAGATAGGCTGTGCTTTCATTAAAGTCTTAGTTTATTGGATAATCCATTAGTTACTATTACCATATTATTTTTTTTCCTTAACAGACGATTATTGTCACTCGATGGACTAGCTCTTCCAAATAAAGCCATTAATATAATTTTAATAATTTGATTTGTAGAAATCATGATTTTGTACATATATGAACTGCAAGTATCAGTTTGTATAGGTCAGTGTTATTCAAGAAATAAAATAATAATGACTAGTTGTCATATTACTTATCTAACCTAATTAGGTCTCTCATAAGATGAATATTATTGAAGGATGTCAGTGTTGGTGTTGATTGAGATCTGGAAAATACCTAACTGGTAATTTAGGGAATTATGTATGACTAAAATTCACAAACGGTTACTGCACATTAAAACGTTCAAGACTCACCTATCTGTGGAAATAAGCAAAGTTTTATTGTTTTTTAAATAATCAGTTATGGTATTTTCAATAAAACTCAGATTTTAAAATAATAATATCAAGAAAGATTACTTTTCAAGATGAAAAAAATTATTATTAAGTTATTCAGGTTATTGAAAAGCCAAAAAATATATTTATCCCCTTTAAAATAACAAACTTTTTATTGTAATGTAAATAATGACAGATAACAGTGTTACTGATAAAATTAACTAATAATTTTTCTAACGCTTGTTTCTAGAATTTACACGAATGTAACAATTCAACGATGATCCGATTTTCACCATTATGTAAGTTGTTGGTTTTAATATTTAGTTTGGACTAATGCTTTTGATTCAATAAGTTTCACTCATTTTTTACGCTCTACATATATATTTTAGATAAAATTTTATTTCACACACATTATAAGTATTCTTGCAATACATGTTATTCAGTTGGTAAAACAATATCTTGAAAGAAGTATGTATATATATATATATATATATATATATATATATATATATATAAATCACTGATATCTTTTGTATTAGTATAACTTATTGGTTAGCGATCTGATCATTTTACTTTGACTTATATAATACCTTCTACAATAAATGGTGGTAAATTCTTACAAGTGAATGATATTCATATGATTCAATGGATTAAGTAACTAATATACATTGAACACACAAAAATATGCTCACAAAATAATTATCTATCAAGTGGTAAGAAGGCAGGAACTAGGACTTACCAAAAGGCTCTCGAAGTCTTTGAGAAGACATTTTAAGAAGTGATCATTACAGTGTTGAGTGTATTTCACAAGTCATAGTAATCAATAAAAATAAATGAAGTTTACATAAATTAATTAGTTTATTGTGGTTATAACAATGAAGAGTCGTGAAAAGTCATGTTAGTTACTTTTTGACAAGTTAAATAATAAGTTCTCTGCTCGAAACGAAGTATTGGAGGATGATCGAAGCAGAGTTGTTATAGTTTTTCATCCCATGACAAATCTGTCTTGTTCTCCATTCAAAGCAACCTGATAATTTCAGTCCATGACACGTTGAATGTTAGACCACCATTAGAAACCTGGAAGCACTGGAAGGCCGTTTTGCCCTGGTATGGGACTCCTCCGCAGTGAAGTTCAACCTGTTCTGGTGTAGGCAGTAACTACCGAAGACTGTGTATGAGGTTGAGCAAATCCGCGAATTGATCAAGTTAGATATTAACACCGTCAGATACCGGCTCAGTGGTCCGATGGTTAGGCGTTCGCCTACAATACCGAAGGTCCTGGGTTTGAATCCTGCGGGGTGCAGGAGTCGTGGATGCGCACTGCTGAGGAGTCCCATACCAGGACGAAACGGCCGTTCAGTGCTTCCGGGTTCCTGATGGTGGTCTAACAGTGATCGATTCATGGTTTCAAAAATGTATAACTTAACAATCTTTACAACCCCGTAACGCAAATTTATTATTTGTTCATTACTGTATTAATTGTTTTCACATTTCTAGATGGTACTTACTGAGAGAGGAGTAATCAATCAACCAATGCCAATGCAATGTCAAGCTTATTTTTTTGTGGATAATTCTATTTCGTAATGATGGTTTCGCATCAGACAAAGCTATGAATATTTTGTTTAATTACTGAATAAATTATTTAATATGAATATTCACAATTGTTTTTATTTCGTTGACTTATAGTACTATAACCAATTGTTCGCATAAAAAATTATTGAATCTGTACAATTCTTGATTTGCGAATAAAAAAGCCTAACATTTTTAAATGTGGAGATTATTTAGGTTCGTCATCGATAAGATGAATTCGCTATCTAACCATTACTTTTTTCTGTCTCACAAGATATTCTGATCAACTGTTGAAGTATTATTGCTATTTTGCCAACTAGTTTGTACTGTAATCATCATGGTTAAGTATATTTCAACTAAATTTGAATTTCACGAATGAAGTTCACTAATATTTACTGATCAATTTTGTTTTATTGTAATAATGAGTCGATCAGTGTTAACATACCATTAGAAACCTGGAAGCACTGAACGGCCGTTTCGTCCTAGATTGTTCATTCATGACCCACCCTCGCGTGAATCGAACCCAGGACATTCAGCTGTGCACGCGAACGCTTAATCTCTAGACCAATATTGAGTCAAAACAAGTTTACAACTAATATAGTACATGTTGTGATGGCTTTTAAGGATGGTAATTAGTATGAGTATTGCAGTATAACATTCTGTCGAGAGCCTCTTATAATCAGACAGCCAAGCTACCATAAATATAAGCGATCGGAATACTACTAAACATGTTTTATATTTTGTAAAACAGCTGCACGTATGAAGACTGGCGTGGATAAGACATATAAACTGAAATAAATAGTATCAAAATAAGGTGAAGAGCTATACAAATGCTACATTTCTCTGTGTTTATGTCTTAACTGTTTCAAAAACACATTATTTTAACAACCAACATTGTATAAGTATTTTATTTCGTGTTCGTCTAATTTCGGCTCTGTAAATGGTGAATATTTGGAAAAAAATTGTTAGTTTAAATATTCTATACTTTTAAATACATTCATGTAAAAGTGTATGTGTTTAGTTCAATAAATATTAAACAAAAATTGAGATTCTCAGACGCATTTACTAAGAAATAAACATTAATGGAGACAGACGATCATATTTCATCAGTCACTTTTAACAAATATCTTGAAAATGAATTTATTCCAAACAGATTACAGTTAAATTTTTATCTAAAACAAATAATATGGCATATACAACCGCGTATTATTTGCAATAAGATGTAATTAGTGAATGCATGTATTGTGAAAGAAATCTGTAAAGCTAGACAAAGAAAAACGTATGGTTTGAGATTACACAAAGAATCTTGTTGTTTGCTCTTTGATTTAAATATTAATCTACTAGCTTAATACTTGTGAAGAAGTTATTTCGATTAAATGAATTTTCTGGATTTTGCCATCCATTTTATCACTTTATTTCCTGTACATCATATGTTGAACTATGCGTCTTAGTGTGAAATAGCTAGTTTTTTAATCCGATATAATACAGACACACTTCAATAGCCAATAAGCATTCAGTCAAAATGACTGAATTTCATATAATCAGAAAATCATTCAGCATGAACAAAGCATCAGTCATCAATGTTCTAATGTATAGAACTATCATACTACTGATTTCATGTTCACTAATTTATAACGAATGCGTTAAAATTGGCTCATTCAACATACAAGTATTTGGACGAAAGAAAGTTTCTCAAAAAGATGTTTTAAGGGTTTTGGTTCAGGTTTGTTTGCTTGTTTTGAATTCCGTAAAAATTACACATTTTTAGATCTTATCTAGATATGATTTAGTTGTGATTCAAGAAATTCGTGATGCCAAAGATACTTCATTCAAACGCCTTGTCAGCGAATTAAATAAGTTAGTTGAAAAATTATGCAACATTGATTTTAATCGAATTTTTTTTTAGATATGCTGGTGGTATCTACAAATCCATATTAAGTGAAAAACTGGGTAGAACGCGTTCAAAAGAACAGTATGGGTTAATTTATAAGTGAGATTTTGAAGTTTTATAAATTTCTACCCGAATTCGAATATAAGGATGAATTATGGTTCATGTTGTTTAGTGAAAATGTCTTGGTCTTTGTAGGTGGTTTCTGTTTCGAAGCTATGAATTGTGGTGTAATTTGTGTAGTAGGTAAAACAGTGATAAGCCAGAGATAGTAATTATTCCAAGACAATATTGAAATTATAAAATAACCTGTTCCAGCTCTATGGTTTGAGTCACTTTTTGCCACAAACATGAATGTCTTGAGTGCTAACTGTTCATTAGCAGAAGGTTTCTTACAAACTGTTCAGTAATTAGTGTTTTATCAATTGAAATCAATTGCAGTAATCAGAAACGTTATCTTGATAATTACTAATTTTGATCTGTACTAACAATAACTTTTAGAATTATATTTATGAATATACCTAATTGAAGTTTAATACATGTTTTAGTTTATCATCTCATTGCTATGAATCACTTACTCTAATCTTACTTATTTACATTTTTGTACTGAGTAAATAAGGTATTTTTATTGCCACATTTTGTTAAGTAAATGGTGTTTTTTTTCTGTTAATTAGTAGATGATTGATTTATCTTGTCGGTCATTGAACATTCGGTTTGATAGTCCAATATTTTAGAAAATGCTTGTAGAATATATTTTTCAGTGGTATTAATTATACCATTATATCATCATTAAATCTTATCTGGAGGTCAAAGGAGGGTGATATATATAGTAATTCCAGAGTTGATGTGAAACACTATTATATACAGTAATTTTCTTAACCGGTTACATACATACTTATCGGTCGTTTTCGGATGTTAGTTTCAAAATGAAAAATTTGCTTTGTTTGGAATCATCTATGAGAACGACAACACTTCATCTGTAGATCACAGCCAATGATCTTTGTTCTCATATCATCAAACATGAAATACTTTGTTAGAGGTTACATGCTTTCTGAGAAATTTTTCAGTTTAAAACTTCTAGTGAATATTATTAATTCGAAGTGCATTAAATGTATATTTTAAGTATACATCAAGCTAAGGAGTTGAGGGGTTTCAGTGACTTAAAAATTCAAATCCAGTGATTTAGTCTAATTTTCAAACATAGACTTATTTACTGCCAAATTCTTTCGGCTTGGTGTTTAGCACGATATATTTTAGCATGTTAAATAATAATTGAGGATAAATCCATGGTAATTTTGCTTTCTGTTTCAAGGTTGTATTTATTTTGAGTCAGCACTTAGTAATATTTCTTTCGTCCTAACTTATAATAAATTTAATAATATAATAGCTTTGATGCTTCAGTAATCATTAAACCAATTAGAATACATATATATGTATAGTGCGTTACACTATTTCCAGACCTACTTTATTTACCATTGGAGAAATGGTAACAGTTTCACATCAAAAGAATCATTTTGAAAGACCACCGATGGCGGTACAAATATCAATGAAACATTCTGGTAAATTTCAACAATTTGTATTGATTTTTACTATATATTACCCTACTATTTAAGCCATTAATATGTTTGGTTTAATCGTCGTACACTTGGATCCTGATAGTGTTGTTGAAGAAGCTAATCAACTTTATACTTCTGTTAAAGAAGTTATGAAAATGTGGAATACACAGGTTTGTGTGATTTTCTGTGAACTATTCACTTTTGCTTAGTAATTTGACTGTTATTGAAATCTTGAATCAATCATCATTAAACCACCATTAGAAACCTGGGAGCACTGAACGGTTGTTTCATCCTGGTATGGGACTCATCACGTGTGCCCATCCACGGCTCTCGCTACTCACAGGAATCAAACCCAGGATCTTCAGTCTTGCACTCGAACGCCTAACCTCTGAACTACGGGGCCAGCATCCAATGGTATTTATGTCTAATCAATCTAAGGCTCAACATCATCCATTGTCTTCCGTAATTACTGCCTTAGATTGATCAGAGTTTGACATAAATAACATTGTATGCTGGCCCTGTAGTTCAGAGGTTAGGCATTCGGGTGCAAGACTGAAGATCCTTAGTTTGATTCCTGTGAGTAGTGGGAGTCGTGTATGCGCACCTCTGATGAGTCCCGTACCAGGATGAAACGACCGTCCAGTGCTCCCAAGTTTCTAATGATGGTTTAACAGTGATTGATTCATAATTCCTATAACAAGCAATGATCTCCATAATAATATAATGAAAAATTTGAATATTGCTAATTTATATACTTAAAAGTAAACTTAAATTAGGAGTTTGAACCAACAACTCTCGTAATCAAATTTTTGTAATGATATGAAAACCTTGGTCACCATATGTTTTTCTTCTTGGGAGGAAGAATTTCTGACTTGTTCACAAGTTACTTTTGTGCATATTCACAGCTAATGATTGGAGTTCAGAGAAGGAATTTATTCATCCCAAAAGTGTAGAACTCTAATTAGTTTATTCTAAATTATTCAGCACGTCAAAACCTTATAGTTGGCTTCAGAAATAATTCGTTATTAACTTATGACTGGTAATCAGTATATAATTACCGGCTTTTATTTCTTTCAAGTCAGCCTGTCGAGACTTTTAGAGAAGTGGTCATTCGTAATAGTTTCATTTTAAAAACTATTAAAATAAACAATCTAAAAATCACACATAGTAGGATAATAATAAAATAAGTAATAAGTAGTAAGATAAGTAATTTTTATGGATGCTTGTAGCACATTTAAATTCATATTTCTATTTAGAACCTAATTATTCTGGGCGATATGAATGCTGATTGTGGTTACTTGTCCAAAAAGAAAATGGCACAACTTCATTTACGAAAAGATACAGAATTCATTTGGGCTATTCCTGATAAACATGATACGACTTTAGGTAAAGGTGATTGTGCATATGACAGGTAAAGTTCTAAAATCATTGTTTATAATTTGTCTGAAATTGACATTTTGTTAACAAATGTGAAGTTTAATAATGTGAATATTTTTATTACACTATTTGTGATATACAGTGACACACATATCACTTGATGGATAAGTTGTGCTAATTATTGGTCTTTAGAGATAGGTTAATCAGAATTACATTCATGTAAATTTTGATTTTTAGGAGTTTGATTGAATAAATAAATGAAAAAAGTTCATCGTTGGGATTTCTACAATAAATTGCTTGATATCCTAAACTAATGTCATGTGTAAACGCTGTTCTGTTGATCTATGAAGGACTTCAACAATATCTTATATTACGATGGAAAAATGATTTATTATTCTTCTATTTTTATTGGATAGTTATTCAATGATTAATTACTATTGTCAAGTGTTTGTTGTCAATACTATTAAAGAATTGATATAGACATAATCATGTTAATAAATGGATAAACGTTTAGGGAAAAATAATCAATTCAATGTGATGTATCGGTATAAATTTCTGACTAATTGATAGTAATTACTTGGAATTTCGAAAAGTGATTCAAAAATAGTCGCATCATTAAATTATCACTATTTAATCATTCAGTCATTTTGAATAAAACGTACGAATATAATAAAAGGTGAGACTGTATATTTTCTTCATAAAATATCAATTAGCACATCAGGACAAAGAGAAGCGAGTGAATATTTTCGGGACTATGATAGATTAATGAAAAGAAAATTATGTGACTAAGATTCTTCCTAACTGACCACGAATAACTTCGATTGTTCTCTCAAGAATAAAAAAGTCGACCGAATAATCGATCCTGACTTTTCGTTAGAACTTCTGAAATTCACCCACAGTTCATTCGCTAGTGAGCGAGATGATAGTATTATTGAATGAGTTTCGTTGGGATTATTTTTATATGAAACAGTATTCGTCAGAGATTAATTTCAGTTGGGTAAGTATTTGGAACCATGGTGCACTGGACAAGTTTCATTTTAGTGGGTGATTCCTTGGGATAACTCCTTCGGTGAAAAAGGCCAAAGAATAATTTCAACTGTCGAGATATTTGAAACCAAATTTTTCTTCTATGTCACTTAACCGTTGTTAAGTCTGTAAAAATGAATTATTAGATTAGTTTAATGACTTCAGTGGATTTTACGAATGTAGTTTTGTTTAAACTTATTTTTCCCTACTGACTGATGGTCTTTGAGCAGTAATGTGATCTTAGTCTTACGTTTTCGAAGAACATGTTATAAGAATATTTATAAAGTAATCTACTCAAACAGTCACAACTTGATATTTTTCAAAATCATTATAGTTGAATAATATCTACTATTAATTTAATGCTAAGCTATTCAAGTCATAATGTAAGCTCGACCGAACATTAAGAAGACGGAGTTGATCTGAAGAACGTTATGTATTTGCCCCGTACATTTCTCACAATCTGGTCCCACATATGCTTGTCAAAACATTTTATATAAAATTCATTGAGGTCAACTAAACATAAAATGATAATCGTAAACAAAGAAGAGAGATGATTCAACAGTATTCAAAATAAAGGAAACTGTCACTCTACTCTCTGACATAAAATGGCTACATGATTACTAAGGCAAGTTCAAAGTTACAACTACTTGTTTCTGTACACATAAGGGATGTTTGGATTTGTAAGTAGCCAAGGTCTTTCTTTATAAACCTAATAATTCGTCCTTGACACTTCCTACACAGCGTTTGAAATTCTATGATGAAGTAGATTCTGTGCTGTTTCATTTATGTGCTTTACTATTATTGATCATGGCTTCAAAATCAGTTAGTTCCAAACGCACCGATGAACGTGGAAAGTAGGAAACCATCTAGGCATATGTTCCATAACCCTTGATTGTGTTGTTCAGTTACCCTTCTCTACTTATATATGTGGAATCGTCGGCTCAGCCCATTCAACCAGGTTAGCAGCGTAATATGTTTTTATTCTCTCTCTTTTAAAAGCATACAGTTTAATTTATCTCTAAATGTTAAATAGTTATAAACAATTTTCTTCACCCCTCTATAATTCCGTCCTTCCTTAGACCCAAAATTATGTCTATAAAGGGTAACTGGTTACTGTTTTCTTTTCGGTAGGTCAGTAAGATAATATTCTGTTCGCTATTGAGTTTATCTAGTTAGTGAGTAACATTCAAATCATTATCATGTGATCACAATAGGAACTGTGTAATTTTGGTTAGCATAACTTCACTGTTGCTTGTGTTCACATTAGAACTATAAATCCCTATGAAAAATAATTATATATTAGCAGTATGATTTAATCTATTTTCATTTATACCCTACTTAATTCGGTTAATCACTTCCTAAATTAATATTTTTATGTTAAATATATTATTGAAACTACAGAATAATTATACATGGCAAACAATTAAAACAAGCAATTAAATCAGGCAGCACGAAAGCTTATCAATTTCCAACTGAATTAAAAATTAGTGATCAGCTGGTATGTTTACTCTATGATAATTGTTTAAAGTAGAAGTTATGATCTTAGTTCGTGTTCGTAACATTGAATGATTTGTGTACATATATATTAAGTTGTTTTAAAATAAAATATGTATAGAAAAAATGGAAAATCCCAAATGAACTCATTTCTTAGAATAAAATAAAAATCATTTTTTTTATATGCTTAGTAGCATGTATAATTATATGGCTTTTAGTCGCATATTTTATGAAATTTCGATGCTAACAGGTTAACCGTATAGTCAGTAGCTAATTAATCTGTACACTAACGATTTTAGATTAATTGGTTTAAACATAAGGCTATTACTGGTATTATGACCAATCGATCTACAATGAATTTAATTTTCACATAAAGTTAGTGGCTCACAATCTGACTGAGTATGCAATGAAATAAATCTTCCCTTCAATTTTCGTACATTGAACTTAGGTGAACACCGTTTGTGTGACGGTGGTAATAAAAAGCCAAATAAGGTTTTGAGAATGAATTCATTACATGTAATCATTCACAGAGACAGACATGAGAATACGAAAAATAAAGGCAAAGCGAAACGAAATAGAGGTGAGTGAGTGTCTCCATGAGATTATGCATCATAAGTATTTATACTCAGGTAATAATAGGCTAGACATGTATTAAGAGAACTAAACATACGCACGTGAATATAAACAATCAAGGTTATGGGAGAATAATAGACGCGCAAGTAACTCGAGAAGAATGGATTAAATTTCCCAAGGGCTGGGAAAAGCCCTGTGTGCTTGTACACATACGAAACATTTTACATACCACTAATCTGTACTAGAATTTTTATAGTAGATATCTGGTGTAGGAATTTTAAAACTCATGATCTATAAAACAAAATATACGGTATATGTTCACCTATTTTGTATCAAATCGCCTTTAGTCTTCAACCACTGATTATAATAAACGCGCAAACCCTAAAGAGGACACCTGAACCTGCCAACGCCGCTTTCTAATTGACTATCTCTAGTTTTATTCCATATTTATCCTACGATAGTTATCATTTCACGTAGGAATAGATGACGAAGATATATAAGTACCGGATGTGTTTATCTTAATCAGTGAAACCTCACACATTACTTTGTCGTATTATTGATTAACAAGGGAGTTAACATGATTATATAAATGAAGAATAAGAACAGACATGCTACAGACAATGCTACCATGAAAATCAATAAAGACCGAAAACTATTTGCTTATTTTGTAAATTAGTGAATTCATGAATTAGTTTATAACGGGAATAGTAGTATACATAATTTTTATTATTACACGTTATTGATTTTAAAACATTTTATCAGTTTGACCTCAGTAGCTCTGAAAGATATTACTGAATCAACAATACATGTATTGACTATTATAGTAACACTCAATATAAAAGCAGAAATAACTAAATAGATGAAATGCGTACTTAGATATAACAATATAGAAAATTTTGTAGGTTCGATTGTTTATAACCATCTTCTACCTTACTAATTGGTGTTTGTGAAATAACTGTACCTATATGGAACTGGCTACATCAAAAATGGAACAACAACAACATAATGGTAAAATTGATAATATACATAAATGTAGATGGCTAGACTTCGAATTAACTGTCTCATATTATCGTACTCAAAAATCAAGTATCTGGATGCAAGCCGTTGTGGAACACTAGATTTGTAAGTAACATCTCCTGGATACTCTCAGGTTTCTATTGATTCTTTATTTGATAATGCTTTGAAATGACAAATTTATACAAGTGTTATGTTCATCACTTGGTACGCTTGAAACCATTACGAGTTCAACTTAGTCGATAAACGCAAACGAGACAATGAACCAGAGTCCAGATAGGCTACCCTGAATCCCAAACTGCAAAACAGAAGACTTGGTAAGCGTGGGAAGTATATTCTACAACACCCAGCAATCCCAATACAACCAAGCACACAACTCTCGTTTATTTATACATCATAGAAACGACCTTGGGACAGTTAAGAAAATAGCACAGTAAAATACACAGCAGCCAATCATAGCCATGGATTTTCCTGGTGGGAAATGAAATCTCAAGGTCAACTGATCAGCCCATGTTCGCAAACGTGAAATCCAAAATAAGGCATTTATCAAACGAGTTCTGGGGATCTAACATTGCTAACAACAAGATAATATTAAAATAAAATTTTATCTGAAACCTACATATAATAATTATATTCATATATTTTTCCAGTAAGTATCAGCGTATATTCTATCGTACAATCTTATTGAAATATTTGAAACTTAATTAATCTGTTGTAAATATATTTTTCTTGCAAATAGATACATTTTTTGTTTTTTATTCCCTTTTTTTCTATGAAACAGGCTAAACAAGTCAGTGATCATTACCCAATAGAAATGGAGATTATTTAAATTCTATTTTCTATGTGTTTAAGGTGATCATTATATTGAAGAATATTTTATTGATGTTATGGTCCAATTTTTTTGCTTATATTCGTACACTGTCATTCTTTCATGCCACTGTATATCATCCTCTCAAAGATTTTGAGAATATACTTTTGTGCAATATCTTTGGCCTTAGTCAATATTCCTTCGTACTTTAGACTTCTAAAGTAGTTATACGTTAATGAAAATATCACAATAGGATAGCTGAATTTTATGAGTACATATTGACTTACAGAGTGTTCAACAACCATATACCATTTCGAATGGCAAAACATTCAGTTAATAAACGAATTTACATTCTGAAAATATCGTAACAGTGCTCACTAGTGACTAGCTTCGTGAGGAAATTCTCGGAGTTCTAGTTGAGAAGATGTGACCAATGGAGTTCAGCCCTGTCAGGTGTAGGCAGTAACTGCCAAAGACAAATGGGTGAAGTTGCGCAAAATCCGTAGATCAGTCAGAGTTAGACATTAACACCGTTGGATGCCGGCCCAGTGGTCCGATGGTTAGACATTCGCGCACAATACCGAAGGTCCCAGGTTCGAATCCTGTGAGGTGCAGGAGTCGTGGATGCGCACTGTTGATGAGTCCCATACCAGGACGAAACGGCAATCCAGTGCTTCCAGGTTTCTAATGGTGGTCTAACAATGATTGATTGATGATTTCAAATGCGAAAAAACACAAATCTCCAAACCTCTAACTGAAAAATTTACATTCTATTAGGTCTTAGGTGAACAGTATTAGTTTTTCCTTTAATTAAAGGAAATACAGAAACATTTTCACTGAAATTCCTGAGAATTACAAAAGCCAATTATGAACAATAAGTATGTTTTCTAGTATAATTTTTTTTATCCTTATTAGAATCCCATTATTTAGTTTCTTAAGAAGGGATTACCATGCTATACGTCTGGTTGAAGTGTTTTCCATAAAAAACAATACTATCTGTTATTGTTGATAGTATTTTGTAAGATTTACCTCAGATAGCCAAATCTTCCATAATATCCATTTCACCTTTGAAGATTATCGGAGCCCAGATCAAGACTTTGATAAAAATATAATGAAATGAATATTACTTTGAATCAGTTGAATAGGATATAAAGTTTGGAGACGGTAATTTCAAGCTGAATCTAATATTATATATATATATATAGATAGATATATTCTCTTTTTTAATCTAATGCTTCGTTTAGTTCTTGCCTCACCAGATATCGACGAAGTGGAGAAAGATCAAGAATTCAACTCAAATAATATGCTTTTCGATAAACCGTGAAAATTCGATTTCTCATAAAACTGCAATTTCATAAAATTTAATAAATAAATAAACAAGCTTTATTCTTTTGCCATTCAATAACAATACAAGTTTAAACCAAGGTTTCAGAATCTCTCTCCTATTTAAAACAATTAGTCCCTTTTATAAATTTTGATAGAACAGTGAGAAGACGTAATTGATCTGATAATTGTGATGTATTTGCGCAACACATATTTCGAACAATCAGGTCACACATATTTACTTGTCAAGGCATTTTAGATGAAGAATAATAAAAGGCCAATTAAATAAAAGTTCAAATAGGCATAAGGTGATAATTGTAAATAGAGGAGAGAAAATTTACGTAATATGAAAAGAATAAGAACGGCTAGGAAAATTGTCACATTACCCTAGGCTTAAAGATTACCAAGGTAAATTCAAGGTTATAATAAATTGTTTCTGTACAAATAAGGGGGGTTTCAATTTACAAATAGCCAAAGGCCTCAACATTCGTCCTTCAACATTTCTATACAGTGTTCTATCAAAATCTCTCCTATTTGTTAATTTAAAAAGTAGTTACTTTATTTAATACAGTTTTATTGAGCAACTTAAAAAGTAAGGGAACAACGATTTGATTAGACCTGTGATACAACCTGTGATAATTCGGAGTAGGCATTCAATAAAGAACAGAATTTACTGTCAAAAACATATCATCATAGTATAATAAACATTCAAATAAAGTTGGAACGGTTAAATAGGTTGCTGCAAATACATATGAAATAAAAAAGATCTTAAAACATTTTACTAGTTGCCATAATCGTTAATTTGTTCTAGAATCAATGTTGCTACAAGAAGAATTCAGAAGAAATAATTAAAATAAATAAATATAGAGCTGCAGATCTTTTCTGAATGCAAAAATTTACCTTCATGTGTTTTTTGACAGGAGAATCTCAATCAGATATTAATCCAGGGACCTTTGAACACATTCGCGTTGCCTGCAAAATCAGAACTTGATGACGATGATGATATAGAAATTTTAACTTTCACACGCTAATCTTAAAGACTAAGTTCAGGAAACTAGGTGCTCTTTTATATTAATGAGTTAACTTCAAGTTAGTGCTAACTGATTAATATAAATAAAGTTAATGGAGTTACAGAATTTGTGTTGACTTATTCAATAAATTTATTGAATGCTGGTCGTCAAGCTTGCTTATAGTGATGACCCAACCGAGCTATACTGGCTGGGACATATGTTCCTAACATGCCAGGTAGGTCCATTGTAGAACTGTGGGACTAAAAGCAGCAAATCTTTGTCCTAATGCTGACTGTAGAGAGGTGTGACAGCAGCAAGTTGTTCCCCTCGGACAATCAGCATCTGCAGTCTTCTCATAAGGAAGGAAGTGGTTACAAAAGTTCGATCCTAAAAATGTCACACCTCACAGATTTCCGTCTCCGGCGGTAAAGGCTGCCCACTAAAGGCTTTAAAAAGAGCGGAGCTAATACTCTAAATACCTTTCGTAAAAAAGCCATGCGTGACCGACCCCAAGCAGTTGTCCCTTGGGCTCTGCGATCACGCTTCCAGGTCTCTAAGACCGAGGCTAATCTACCTTCCTTTTCAGGTCCCCCACGAAACACCTTTCCACGGTTCGACAGCCGGGAAGTGACGACCACCCTCATACCTGCAGCAACACACGAGACCTAATTGGTCATAGTCAAATCCTTCCTGCACTCCTTAACATCTCTCTTATCTCCACGACTCACCCTTCTCACATTCCTTTATCACTCTGCACCGCTGGTGCAAACGATGCGGGTATACGAAACGTTACTCCTCGTCTGCTGAAATCTCGTTTCTAACTACATGCTGGAGCATTTAATGTCTGGAAATTTTGTCAACAAGGGGAAAAGGCTTCCTAAGCTAGGACTTTAGAATCTCGTGCCATCGAAGTGTGCTGCGTCTCGGAAACGCGCATACAGGATCCCAGTAGCATCACTCATTTGACCTCACCATGTGTCAAGATAAAGAAGCAGCTCGATTTACGCTTGGTGTATCCGGTAGCCCTGATGCTGCTTCTAGGGGCCTCGCCGGTGTAGGTATAGCATTGAGTCGTAGGGCAGAACAATCTCTCCTTGACTGGATCCCTGTAGATAGTCGCTTGTGCGCCGTCCGACTGAATGGGACAGTAAGGGCTCGGAAAGATAGGGACACTCGTCGTTGCCTCTTCGTCATATCAGCCTACGCCCCCACTGACTGCAGCCCAGATGATGTAAAAGATGACTTTTACAGAAAGCTTTCGGACCTCCTCCAAAAAGTTAAGCGCTCTGATATAGTTATAATGGCTGGTGACTTCAATGCACAAGTAGGTAGACTAAGTGAAAATGAAAGACACCTAGGTGGATGTTATGGTGTCGCGGCTCAAAGAACAGACAATGGCGACCGTCTGTTGCAACTGTGCTCAGATAACCAACTATTTCTAGCAAACACTAATTTTAAGCATAAGGAAAAACATCTTTTCACCTGGCGACCCCCGAAGTCGTCTCAACGTTGGACACAACTAGATCATATCGCCATCAGCCACCGATGGAGCGGTTCGATAGAGGACTGTCGCTCGTTCTGGGGCACATGTTTAGATTCAGATCATACTCTAGTGCGAGCGCGTATTTGTTTGCGACTTACCGGACGTAGGAAAGACATCGCAAGAAAACCTCCTACGGTTCTACTTAATGATAGCTTAGCTGAGAATATATTTCAGGAACAATTAGAAAAAAATTTAGGCAACGATGTAAGTGATGCCCACCCTGAGGCAGCTTGGAATGATATCCGAAAAGCTGTAGAAACAGCAGTGATATCTGCTAGTAAGGTAGACAATAAGGTTAGAGAGAAGCCATGGATCTCAGCAGCATCTACGAACTGGTGCATGCTAGAAAACTCATTCCGTCTGACTCTGAACGTGACGAAGAGCGAAGTAAGCTTCAGCGCAGACTGATAAAAAGCCTACGAAATGATCGCAAATGGTGATGGGTAGCAAAATCAAGAGCGATGGAAAAGGCAGAGGCGATGATAGTTAACAGTGGACAACTGTTCCGCCTTATCAATGACTGATACTAGGAATCCATGTGTTAGCGAAATTATCTCGGAAAATGATGGCTATCATTTATTCTTAACTCAAGAGATTGGTTCGATAGGCAGAACACTTCAGGGATCAATTCAACTGGTTATGTCATATTTCGGTTGCCCACGATCTCCAGGCAGATCGGTGTAAGTCCTCCGAGTCTTTATGAAGTTGAAAAAGCTATGGGAAACCTGAAGTGAGGGGGAGCAGCTGGACCTGATAGGCTAACTCCTGAGATTTTCAAGGACGGTGGTCCAGTTTTAACAGTTAAATTAACTGAGATCATAGGTAGAATCTGGGAACTAGACTTTATCCAATCCGATTGGTCTCAATCACTGATTGTCCTAGTCTAAAAATAAGGTCAAAAGTCCTCTTGTGACAATCACAGAGGAATCAGTTTAACTAATATAGTGTCTAAGATATTGGCCCAAATAATACTCCGACGCCTTACTAGAGCTCGTGAAGAGCAGACTCGGGAAAACCAGGTTGGTTTCAGACCAGGAAGTAGATTATTCTTCGTCTGAATTTCCAGGAGTGGCCCTTCTACCAGTAGATTCACTGGTTGACTTAGAATACGCCGATGACGCTGACAAAATGACTGCTAGATTATC